CCCCCCCCCCCCCCCCCCACCCCCCCCCCCTCCCCCCCCCCCCCCCAAAAAAAAAAAAAAAAAAAAAAGAAACCAAAGGAAAAAACAAAAAAAAACTCTTCAAAGTCTTCAGGCCCCTGTATTACAGAGGCCAGCAAGGCCTCATTTGCTCAGTTTAAGGGGCACAAGGAGGGACTAAGTAGCCCCTAAATGAGGTTATAAGGGGTCCCGGTGGGGGTTTTCCAGGAATTTCTCGGGGTGATTCGCAGACTGAGCCTGCCATTATAGGGTTTAGGGCTTCATAGGGTTTAGGGTACATGGTTTTCGGGTTTAGGGTTAAGGGTTTCGGGTTTCGGAGCCGTTTTGGGAATGAGGACTTCCACCCCCCTCCCCTTGCTGTTGGGGCTAGGCTGCTCTGCAGCCCTGTCTCCAACACGGAGCGGCAGTGGCTGACATATATATATATATATATACATACATACATATACATATATGTATATATATATACATATAGATATATACATATATATATACACATCTGTATATACACACACATATGTTCATACATTTATGGATGTGTCAACTGTTTACGCAAGATGTACTCCCGAGCACCTTTCCAGCCACCACCCCCAGAGCGCTCGGGCCTCGGTCGCTCTAAGGGCCGTCGAGATCCTACCTCCAGATCATCGGATTGCTGGGTTCAGGGGGGGTTTAGGGTTTAGGGTTTAGGGTTGGGGTTGCGGGTATTCCCACGGTTCCCTCCTGTGCGGCCGAGTTCTTTCATGCTGTTGTGCAGTCTCCACGTCCTGGCTTGGGGAGGTGAGCCCCCTTCCTTTCCGAGAACGAAGCAATGATAGCAATGCCTACAATTACAAGAGTGGAACATGCCTTCTCTCATAGGATCCAGTAACCAGTAACTTTTGCCCCAATGTAAACCCTAAACCCTACACCCAAGCCGGCTCAGGATTATTACCTTTGCCGGCAAGGATGCCACCGAGGAGTTCAACATGCCCCGGGGCCGAACGGGGTTTGCCAAAGCTTGAGGGCGTAAGGGCTTCGGGTTTCGCCGGCCAAAACCCTAAGCCAGCCCTAAGCCCTAAGCCCTAAACCCTAAACCCCTTTTTTCCCATAAGAACGGGGCTCGAGAATCCAGGCGCCAAGCCCAGAAGCTAATGCCCTAAGCTCGAGAGCGCAGGGTTTTCGGAGTTAGGGTTTGGGATGTAAGGTTTTGGCCTCTGGAGCACCAAAACCTTGGGGGGGGCCTCCTGGAAATTGGGGTGTATCGAGCTGAGGATGCTTGTGGGGTGTAGGGGTCTGAGGATTTTTGAGGGTTTAGGCGTTTCGGGTTTCGGGTTTGGGCTTTCGGGCTTCGGGCGGTTGAGGAAACTGCCCGTGTAGACCCTCCTTCAAAACGATCAACGCTGAACCCTCAACCTTAAACCCAGAACCCTAAAACCCTAAGATCCAAAAAACCCTAACAGTTTAACGCCCTAAAAGCCTAAACCCCAGCACCCTACAACCCGATAAGCCCCTAGGCAACCGAAACCACCTAAGGCCCCCCAAACCCGACCTCCACGCTAAAACCCTAAACCCTAAACCCCCCAAAAGGGAAGCCTCTTGAGGGCAAGCCCTGAACCCTAAACCCTAAACCCTAAACCCGAAACCCGAAACCGTAAACCCTAAACCCTAAACCCTAACACCCCGAGACCGCAACTTTGAGGATCCACCCTCCGGATGTGATCGGGAAGTACGCGCCGGCGCCTGGGTGGGTGACATGGGGTTTGCGGGGTTTAGGGGTTTAGGGTTTAGGGTTTAGGGCTTGGGGTTTGGGGTTTGGGGTTTGGGGGTTTAGGTTAGGGGTTTCAGGGGTGTTAGGGTTGAGTGTTTGGGGTTTAGGGTTTGGGGTTTAGGTGTTTAAGGTTTAGGGGCTTGGGGCTTGGGGCTTGGGCTTGGGGCCTGCAGTTTGTGGTCCAGGGTGTTTTAAGCTGACACTGGTAGCGTAATCAGGACCTATATCGCGCGCTCAAGACCTGAGAGGTATTTGGGCATATTTGGGCTCAACGGCATGCTGAGTTTTTGTAATCTTCGGCCATCAAGTGCTAGCCCTAAACCCTAAATCCCTCAATCCCTCAACCCCAAAAGTCCTCGACCCTCAACGCCTCCAAACCCCAAAACCCCAACACCCCAACACCCCAACACACCCCCAAACCCCAAACCCCCAAACCCCAAAACCCTCAAAAACCCTCAAAAACCTGATTTACACTTTATCTTATATCTTTATAAGATAAATTGATTACCTCAAAACCCCTGAAACCTAAACCTCTCAACGTGCCCCCCCCAAAAAAAAGCCGAGGACTCGATCATCGGAAAGCTCGGGGCAGGACGCCGTGGCTTTTTGGGGGGACGGAGCACGTGGAGGTTTAGGGTTTAGGGTTTAGGGTTTAAAGTTTAGGGTTTAGGGTGTAGGGTTTAGGAGCTTCAAGGTTGAGGGGCTTTAAGGGGTTGGGCTTTGGGCCTTAGG